CGCTGAGCATGACGCCATACGGTGTGGGACAGCCCTTTGGGCAGCTGGGGTCAGCTGTCCCGGCCGTGTCCCCTCCCAGCTCCCTGTGCACCCCCAGCCTGCTCGCTGGTGGGGTGGGGGGAGGAGCAGAAAGGGCCTTGACTCTGTGTAAGCACTGCTCAGGAATAATGAAAACATCCCTGTGTAATCAACACTGTTTCCAGCACACATCCAAAACATAGCCCCATACTAGCTACTATGAAGAAAATTATCTATCCCAGCCAAAACCAGTACACATATGCAGAGTGCAGAGTCATGTCAAGCACTGGTGTGTGTAAATATTTGAAGTTGTGAACAGTAAGAATAGATATGGTTTATAACAGTAGGTATGAAGTCACCTACAAAAGCAAACACGCTTACAAGTGTGTTACTATGGTAGGTCTCCTACTTGCAGAATAGCGTTTGGAAGACCTGAGGGAATAAGGTTAGATAATCTGCCAAAATAGGTTTGTACAAGAAATCTGTGCTTCATCATCATTAACTCCAGTCTAGTAAAATTTTGAGCCTTCTCTCAGCTGTGATTTGTTCCCTCTATTTGAGTACATGTATGATTCTTCACAGCATTTTTAAAAGTTGTGATGCAAGGAGAGTATTGTTTACATATTAGAAGGCAAGAGCCTGAATTTTCAGATCTCAACCAGTGACCAACTTATATGAAGAAAATAAACACAAAAAAATTACATTTTACTACCATCTCATCTTTTAAGACGTATTTCTGCTTTAGGTGATTTAATTGGCATTTCTTAGCCTATCTTTGGAGTGCTAGTTAGGCAAGCTGGTGGCTACATTGCACCATCAAACCGTTCACCGTTGTGAAGAAATTACCTAAAATCTCACACATACTTGCTTTCTACAAGCTCAGCTATGGAACATCTGCAGACTAGTTCTGTCCTAAGCCTGTATGCACCAATCTCTTCTACATGGCAGAAGGCAATCCTGGGTGAAAAGCCCTAGTGGCATTTATGGGCCTATTGCCGTAGTTAATATTAGGAGAGATGAGTAGTCTACTGGTTTTAGATAAAGATCAGGTTTAGTAATAAGCTCTTTATGAAGTCAGTGGGAATGTGTTGGAGGAAAGTTAGTTCTGTAACTCCCATAGGGGTTCTCTGTCACTGAGCAGGGACACATGAACAACCGCAGACAATGACAGTGTGTGCAGAAAGTAGCTCCAGATGGTCTGGTGGTGGAACTCTGGCTCAGAACTGGCTAACAAGCTTCTTCCTCTTGGAGAATAGAAATAGTCCTTATTTCTTTCCTTTCCCCTCCCAGTACCAGCTACAGATTTCAGCAGGTCAAGAACATCCAGCTGTATTACGGCTCCAAGTGCAAGATGAAGACTCTCCCAACACTCCAGCTTGGAGAGCAAAATACAGAGTAACAAAAGGCAATGAGAAGGAACAGTTCACCATTGAGACGGATCCAGACACAAATGAAGGCATTTTGAGTATTATCAAGGTAAGGAGCAGTAACAGATGAGCTACAGCATGGCAATGTTGTAGTGTGGCCAGTCTGATTACAAGACTGATAGCTTAGCATCTTAGTTGAGTTTGGTGAGCTCAGCTCACCTCTGAGTTCCAGGTATATAGAGGTGACTGCCAAACCAAGGGTCATAACCGCTAATCAGACTTTTGTCTGGGGTTTTCAGCCTCTCAACTATGAAGAAGACTCTGAGATGACACTTGTCATTTCTGTAGCAAATGAAGAACCTTTCTTCTTGTGTAAAAACAGCATTCTGATGATCTCAAGCCTAGAATCCACGAATACAACTGTTACCATAAAGGTCTTAGAGTCACAGCGTGCTCCTAGGTTTCATCCTCCTATACTTATTGTCCAAAAAGAAGATTCAATGAAGCCTGGGAGAGTATTTAGAAGGTATCCTGCCACATCTCCAGATGGTATGCCAAATAAGATAAAGTAAGTGGAGATGCTTCTAACTCTCAGAATAAGAAAGAGCTTAGGCATATAGAGAGTTTTTCAAGTTTAATTTGGTGTATGTACATATATGAATATACATACACATATATTTACAGTTATATGAACATATACATTAGAGGTGCGGGTTTACTATTGTTGATTCTGCAGATCCAGATAGCTGGTTGTGTAAGATACAATTTAAAGGTGCAGTCAGTCCTTGGTTGCTCAATGTTTCTGTTGTCTTCAAAATAGTTTTGCCTAAAACCGGGTTGCATTGTTTATATTTTACTTTTGACAACAAATTTTTGATGCCATAAAAAGGACTAAGGTATGCTTGGCTGTAAGAATAGTAATCTGATGTGGAAATTAGATACTTTCTTAGCCCCTAGGAACAGTTTTGATGGGCCTGTACAAGGTATGGGGACTTGTATGGGGAACTGTTTGTTGGCTGTGTTGAAACACACAGCTTGTCATAGCATTAGCAAAAGTAAGCATCGCTAACAAGTAAAATACCTACAGAGCTCAGAAGAACAAAGAAAGATGCAGTAGAAATTTTCTATTCTTCAAAATCCTTCTAAGATTGTAACTTGTAACTTTTTCCTTTCTTTTTAAGATATGAACTAGCCCGTGACCCAGGTGGTTGGCTGAGTATAGATGAGAATTCTGGAGTTCTTACTGTGGCAAAAGAATTTGATCAAGAATCCCCTTACGTGAACAACAGCCTGTACACCATTATTGTTCGTGCTATTGATCATGGTAAGTAGCCAGTCCAATAATATTCAAGCAGTATTTGGACTGTTTGAGATGAGGTGCATGTTAGACAAAAAATGATAGCAAGACTAAGGACCTAAGTAGAGAATGGTAATGCAGAACACCCTAATATTTAAAACTTGTGTTATGTGTGACTTAGTAGGATAAACAAGACAGAGATCCTGCCAATGGACTGGCTTTCGTCGATACCCAGTTGTGAGTGTTTTTCTGTTTCTTTTGCTCCTATTTAGGTATTCCACCGCAGACTGGTACTGGCACCATCCGGCTTTACTTGTCTGACATTCATGATCATATGCCAACATTAGTGGCTCCTTCTTTAGATGTATGTCACAAAAAGGAACGGACGCCTCTCATTATAAAAGCTAAGTCTGCTCTGGCCCATTCACATTCTGGGCCATTTACATTTGAGCTGGCTGAGGACTCTGAAGATGTGAAGCATAACTGGAAATTAGGAGAGAACTTTGGTGAGTTCTTCCTTTCATGTCCTTCATGAGCAGTTCATTGTCAGCTATGTGCCCTCTAGTTATTTCACTGTCTCTTACCTTTATGGTTTCTTACTGATTAGTCTCAATGAGACGGAAAGGACATGGAAGAACAGCTTTCAAAATATAAAGTTACTGCAATTTGAAAAAAAGTTACATTGTTCTTTATGTCTGCTGAGGACAGGACCAGAAGCAATGTGCTCAAATTGCAGAAAGGGGATAGGACAGCTGAGGAACCACTTCTGCATTTGATTAGCTACCTGATGAATGCTAGAGGTTATCAGTGCAGCTATGCCAGAATGCAGCTAGCCTGGGACAGATGTCTTTGCCCAGAAGGCTCAGTAAGGTGATAAGGTGGGGTGTCATTTTGTCCTATTTACTATGGTTCATTAAGGCTGGAAAAAGTATTTGAAATTGGGGTGCAAATGAGTTTCCCTTTGATTATCAACAGAAGGGACTGTAGAATATCAGGCTTCTTTCTATGAGTCTTGAAATAATTCACTTGTCTTCTTTTTAGGGGAGTCAGTTGAACTTTTAATGTTAAGAAGCCTCCCACAAGGTAGCTACTTGGTGCCCATCATTATTCAGGACACACAAGGATTTTCTACAAGGCAGAACCAGCATGTTAGGCTCTGCTTTTGCCCAGATGGACATACATGTAAAGAGTCACCATTTCCACAAGCAGCAGTGAGACTTGGAGGTGGTGCCATTGCAATAATACTGACAGTTTTGTTGTTACTACTGGGTAAGTAACCTCCTAACTTATGCGTGCAATTTATCTGTCGTCTGCCCAATGGATCTCATTGCAATCACAGCTCATGAACATGTGCTAAAATCTACCAGCCTTAACAGGAAAGGCCATTTGCCTTAATGTGTTAGAGTGTAGTCAAGGTGCAAGCAGTTAATACTTGCACTCTTCATGGCACTTCTATCCATGTGCCCTGGTCCATGACCCATTCTCTCTTCAAATTTTAGGAAGACCTTAGTTTTCCAACACAAGACATTGCCATTTCCATCTAGTAACTGAAAAGATCTTTTTTGATAGCCAAGAAAACTTACAAATTACTAGGCACTGTAATACAATGTGTAATGCAGAGGAAGGTGGTCTCCAAGGCTGACAACACAGGGTAAAAGACACTAGAAAGATTAGTGAAACTTATGTGCCCTCATGGTTGGGATGTGAAAAGGTGAGGACTGTGTATTGCAGAGAAGTGAAAAAGGGAAGATAACATAGATGCATGGAATGCTATTGTATGAACAACAATAAATACAAGTATGTAACCTAGGAAAAAAGAAAATATCTAAACTGAAAAAACAGAAACATAATGTTAACGGGTGGAATTTTTCAGCTTGTTACTTGTGAAAATCATGATTATATTGTGCCTAGAAGAGACTGGCAAATGTAAATGTGTCCTTAAGCTGAACTCTGGTACAACAAAGTAAATATTTTTGTTTGCATTGAATAAAATTGAATACTTGACTTTTTTGACATTAACCGTGTACTGGCTAACTGGAAGTAATGAATTTCTCCCATGGGGTTACACTACTCAGTAATTGCTTGTTGTAGAACTGCTTCCTCTGTAACAGCTCATGTTGGTTACTGCTGAAGAGAGCTACTGATTCTTTATCTGAAGCAAAAATTAATAGATTATCTGACCACTATTCCTCTGGTTACCTGTGAGCAATCTAGTATGTCTGCCTGCTCAGTGCAGTGCTGTGTGGAGGTAACAGCTTGGCTTTCTAAAGCTGGCTAACCGCTCCAGGCCAAGCATTGCATCTGCACAGCTGCACTGCTGGAGGTTTCCAAGATAGCTCATTTGGAACTGGGCTGGGTACTTCACCAACCCACTGTATTGAGCCATACAGATCTATTCACAATGCCCATTTCACCATTCCCTTTCTTGTTTCACCAGTGTCCAGTATTGTACTTTGCCGGTTTTATGTGGTGGGATCTAAAAGCAAAGCCACTGTTCTACTTCAAGAAGGTGAACAGACTTTAATCAGCTATAATGAAGAGAGCAGAATGTCTTTATTTCAAGTAGGTGCAAAAGCATATATTCACATTACCCCACCAGTGCTGTGTGGTTGAGTCTGGTACTAGTCATCTCTTTTATTATGTTTCCTCTGGTTTTTGTATTGAGCAAAATAAAGCTTTTTTGCCACTAAGCATATCTGGGGAGTGGTGTTCTGCATGGACTGGATAATGCTACTCTGGTGACAGACTTCAATCACTCCTACCAATTTCTAGTATCAGCAGGACCTTCCCAGGTGCCTCATCCTACTGATGAACCCAGCAGATGAGGAGGCACATCATCTCTTGTCACCTTGCACATCCTAGTGTTTTCGACAAGGAAGTAGACGAAAGTGAAAGTCTGCAAAAGTGTGATCCTTCACAGCCTAGTTCAGTTTCTTATTAATACCACCCCTCTCCTTGTACGCAGGCTAAGCTGGACACTACAGATCGTGCTGCTCTACCACCTGTGTCTGTGAAGGCTAGAAAAGAAGTGATTGCTGAGGTAACTGCCTGTTTCCTTATGTAAATGCTCTTTTTTATACCACAGAAATTGGTAATCCCAAGAATGAGGTTTGGTATTAATAATAGTGGGAAGAATAATGCAATATAGTTCAATTAGAAAACAAGTGTCACTTGTTGGAGATTCCACTGGTATTTAAGATACTGTTGACAACATTTTTTTCTAACAGCTTTCAGTTTGAGACTGGCACTTCTTTTCATTAGTTATTGTTCTAAATATTTGGAAGTGTAATTTCTTCCAGAATTCTTATCACAGTACCTGAATTGGTATGCATAAGATTTTATTCAGTTCTTGGCATAAGTGAAATGAGACCATCATTCTTCAGATATCTATCAAAAACATGCTGGTCAACACCTTCTAGTTAACATACTGTAAAAGTGTGGATAGGATTTATGAGTATTTTTATGACTATAAGATGTACTTCGAGGGGTTTGAAGGCTTTTGATTTTGTTCTGTGGATTTTTGTACTGTATTCTCTAACAGATGTCTATTTTTATTGTAAAGAATACCTGAAGGAAATTCTGGTCTACATCAGTAGATGACTGTCATGTGTTCGGTTCATAAATACGTAGTGATCACCAAGAGACTTTAAGAACAATCTCTGTCTTACAGCAGGCAAAGAAAATATAAAATAGTCTTTTTTATGTATGTGAGAACCCAATTCCACAATCCTTAAGACCATAGTTAGGAGGCAGGATTACTTGTGTGAGAACACACTATAAAGTTCTGAGGTTATGTTTGGTGCCATTAATGAAAAGGAATCCAATAAATTTAGAGGAAGAAACATATTTAATTACTGGAGATTATGAAGAATGCCTACAGTTGGTAATTCCATGTACACATGGATTACGTACTCATAAGAAGAAACAGTCCCTGAACAGAAAAAGCTGCAATGTAACCAGAGAAGACAGGACCAGAGAAATGGATGTAACAGAGAGAGAGAGATAATTGGATTTATTTGTATCTGAAAGAAAAGTTAGCAGGTGACTTTATGCTCGTCAAACCTGAGATACTACGTCTGTCTTCCAGGATGCCCTGTACGCTAGTTACAAGACATCCCAAGTAAGACACCTTGATTACATCATGCAGACAGTGGACAAAATACTGAGTCAGGTAAGAAATGAATGTTGAATCCCTCCTTTGTCAAGCTGGCTTGTAAGAATAGGAAAAAAGGCTTGCAAAACTGGAAAGCTGATACGGCTTCAGCTACTCTCTTAGTCCACATCTAAGAAACATTACAATCAAAAGCAAGAGAAATATTTGATAGGGAAACATTCAAGACTCTTCGTTGTTGAAAATGCCTTGTCTCCTAGACTTCTTGCTGCCTCTGGCTGGTCACCCAGCAGTTACTGCAAGGCTGGAGTCTGTCACCTGTAACAAATTATTCAAGACGAGGAAGTGGGGCTAAAGTGCTTTCTGCTGCTGCACAAGGTTAAAGTTCGGTTGCCTGCTCTTTCACTTCTGTGCTATCAGGGAAATCTGTCCTTCATGCCTCCTTGCGCCAGACTGCATGCCTCCATGCAGTCATGTTTACTTGATAGCTGTCTGGTCCAGGGCAGATCAAATGCTCTTTTCTTCCTCATTTGTACTCTAGGGGAAGTTCAGGCTCTGGTGCTTATGCAGCTGAGAGTTTCGGTAAAACTTTTCCTTATTAGAGAAAGACTCATACTCTTCACTGTAACCTCCTGGCTTACCTGCCTAATTTGCATACCATGAATGCCTTTAATTTCCAAAAGGCCAGTAGGAGCTTCAATGATGATTTGCATTATTTCTTCCCTTCTTTAGAAACTGTATTACCAAAACACACTGGAAGATTACGGGGCCATCTATGAACCTTGCAGATATGCTGAGGAGGGAGAACTAGAGCGAAGTAAGTCCTTCTGCTCTGTCTGCATTGGCCGTGAGGACTTGCCTGTTGATTTTTTGGACACCCTGGGACCAAAGTTTTCTGCTCTGGAAGAAATCTGTCAGAAGCGATTTCCATCACTCAATTAATTTCAAAAGGCTGTGACTACTTTATGGTGTTGCGGAGGCTTCTGGCAGAAGCACTGCCAAATTCGGAAAGAAAGAACCATTTGCACTTCAAAGTGTTGCAGTATGTTTGCAACATTAGTACCTGGCCTTTTATTCTTCGTGCCTACACTGTTTGCGTGCCTGCAGCCAAGAACTTGACGTGTCTGGAAGGTCCACTCTACTCTGCAGAGATGATGGAGGGATTTTGGCATATTCTGTGCAGACTTACACAAATAGAAGATCTGATATTCAGGATCTTCAATTTAGTATGCAAAGGATAAAACCAGATCTACTAGGCTAGACATTCCGGTCAAAGTTTCGTGTGGAAATAAGGCAGTTTTGAACAGAGAAGGCAATTACCAGATAGGCCAGCGATACATCCTTTCTCCAGTAAGCAGTCTCCTTAAATCCAAGATTAACTTTAGTACAGTGCCGTGCGGATCTGACTTGATGATCAGGTCTTCTATTTCTATATGACACTGAAACATCAAACAGAAAGTACACTTCTACTCTTAGTGTGACTGTAACTGCGTAAGGACCTGAGAGGTCTGCACCATCCTTGCCTTTTAGCATAAAACAGGCACTTATTTAGTGCTTGCATACTCATGGTGGCATCTGGTGGCTGTTAGTTTTATTACACTATTGTAAATAACACTTGAAATGTTGAGAAATTGTTGACAGAGGACAAGGTATGGTCATTCCTTTCATTCAAATAACTACCTTCTCTAAATTAGCTACACGTGACTGTGATGAAGAAATTCGTGGGTTTCCTTGAGCACCATTGATAAAACAGATGACATGATAAAGAAAGGATGGTATCAAGTTTCCCTATATAGAAACCACAGATGTGTTACTTTTTGTGATTTGTGGATGTCTGAATGTGTGCAATTGACCTGTGCTCAGTTACAGCATGATGGCTATCGGTGTTACAATACATGAAAGAATAGCTCAGAAGATAGTATTCTGCCATTAGGAAAGTTATACAGGCAGTAAGAGATGGAATTAGTCACAAATCTTACTTCTGTTCTATACAATTCTGTGCTAAAAGAAAAATGCTTTGCCTAAGGCAAGCACTAAGTCTGGTATCTAAGGCACTGTTCTTCTGTTTTAAAGTTTATTTAAACAATAAATTATGCTTTTGCTCAGATGTTATTAACCAGTAATTCAAGGCTGGAAACTTCAGTCAAGTGTGATAAAAGAATTTGGCTGAGTGGCAGGCAGCTAAGTGTTCCTAAATGCCAGCAGCAGGATCTGTTTACACAATAAATCACTACTCTGATAAACTGTCCTTAACTTGTAATTCCGAATGGAAGACTTCAGATCACACCAGTGATTTAGCAGCACTGTTAATAACGAAGATGACTTTTTTGTTGTAAATTATAACCGTATTGGTAAGATGAGAATTGTGCTGTGTTTTGCGATTTCTTCTGAAAATGATGCAAGATTAAAAATAACAATGGAAGTATTCTGTGTGTTTATGGTTTGTGTAAACTTGTGCTGGGTCTACAGCACACCGTGCTTACAAACGCCAAAACATTAGATGTGATCAGACCCACGGTTGCTAATACTGGAAAAAGTTGTTTCTCTCTTGCATGGAAAAAAAAGAACTGTTTTAATGAAAAGCTACTGTATAGCAAATGAGAATGTTCACTGGAGGTTCTTACAGTCATACACTACGTGCCCATACAGGTAGTTAACATTTGTTATTTCAGTGTCTTCAAGGATTTAGAAGACTTATACACACTAAGCTAATACAGCTTCCCAGCATAATTGTGAGGTAAAGATGTAGTGTTTAAAGAGCAGAAATTAAGGCTGTAAGAGCTCCTTGGTTGACCACAGTCACACAGAGCTTGCAGCAAACTAAGGAATGGCACTTATCCATCGTGCTCCATGTATATTTTGCCTTTCACTAACAGTGTTGACCTTTGCAGCAGCTTTTTACACCATTCCTTTTGACCAGACCTGAGGAATATCCACTCTGCTATGGTCCTATCAAAACAGTACAGAATCTTTAGTATATACAGTCTTGGAGCAAACAGTGATGGAAGTAACAAATAATGAAAGCCTTCATTTTACAGATAAGAACTGATGCATAGAAATCATAAGTCAGCTCCCATAGTCAAAAAGAGACTTGCAGAATGGATCCAGATTTTCAGAATCCCCTTCTGTCACTGTAATCATTGAGGTATCGTTATATTCATAATTCCTGTCAAGCCCTGTCATTTATGCAATTACCTGGACAAAAAATATTCCTCCTTTTTCTCACTACGGATCTGCAGTCACAAATTTGGTGATGTGACACTTGCACTCCCGTTAATGATCACACTGTTTGTTGATCTTTTTATCTAACTATGGTAGTTGTATAAACCAGGTAAGTGCATAATGAGGTGTTCAGTTCATTTAGAATGATTGTTCTAATAATTTAAGTGTCATTATGTGCCTTTCAATAGGAACGAGTACTTTTATGTAGGAATGACAAAGCATGCTACAAACACCTAAATAACCGAACTGCTGAAAACTATTATGATCCCTACTGCCAAAATATGGACAGGTAATCTGTCATGCATCAATTGGGGCTGTCTGGACAACAGCAAAAGTCAACAGAGGATCCAGAAAGTCTAGTGTTGTAGGTCCGTGTCTCAGCTCTATAAGACAATTACTTCCTGCACCATCTGTGCATAAGGTTTGAGTTGGCATTTCTCAAATGGGAGTGAAGGAAACCTAAATTAGTTTATTAATCTCCCATTGTCTTAAAAACTAGAAACATCTGCTTGAGACACAAGCAACTTCTTAGTGGAGTTTGGCAGTAGGAAAGCCCAAGCTGATATGGTGTACCTTCACTACGACACTACTACAATCAAAAAGGTTTAGTTAGAGGCTGTCATGAGACACAATGATTAATAAGTAGTGAAAATGAGGCATAAATCAGCATTTCTCACCTACACCACACATTTGCATCCATCACACCTTTAAAGACACTATTGCAGGAAGCTAGTCAGTAAACAGCTCTTAATCGTATGAGGCTGAGGTCTATCTCAGGAGACAGACAAAGAGGTAGCGTCTGGAGGCAGCACGTTTATTTGTGCCACCCAACACACTGAATATTATGATGATATCCCAATCAAGCTCTGGGCCTCAAAACTGCTGTTACCCTGTCTCTGCTGAGGGTGACAGTGAACCATCAGACTCCCAGTCACTGAGGGGGCTTTGAAAGGTTGACATGAAGGTTGATGCGAGCTCCCTGCCTGACACATACCCCTTTTCCACCAGTGCCTCACAGCAAACCTGGGCCGAGGGACTGGACATGTAGTCAAGGCAACTTGCCGTATTTCTTCCCAGGGCCCCTCTGCTTCTGCCTTGTGCCTCCCCAAGCCAGGCAGACAGCTTGTGCATCGCCCACAGAACCGCACAGAAGTGGCCATTGCTCAGGGGACAACGTGAGGGCTGGTGTCAGAGCAGTGCTGTCTGTGCAAACACAAGTAAGTATTATCGATGGCCTCAGCTGATGCTTTGCTCGTACGTAATGGCAAAGGGAGTGTGTGAAGCCTCTGGTTTGTTCAGGATCTGCTTTAAACTAAGTACCTTCATGGCTTGCTGTTTTGTAAATGCTGGTGATGGGCTATAGTGTTTCAATTACCTGTTCACAGTGAGAGGTCTAATCATGAGGTCTGTGAATCCCCATTACTTCTGGCCCCTGCTGTGCCCGAGTCAGTGGGAGTCCCAGCAGCACAAATGTTTATCTCCTCACAATCTTCATCTCTGTCTTTGTTTTGCCTCATTTATAAAAATCTTACTTAAAAGTAAATGACACACAATCAGTAAAGGGGAAATTAATCACACTGGAACCAAACTTCTGACACTGAGTTTTAAAGGAAACAAGAGAGACTGATCATAGGATGGTCCTACAGAAAGTGGATGTCAGCGTGTTAGCAATAAAATCTTTTTGTCTCAGACAGAAAGCGTTTTCCCTGTCTGCTATTTCGTCTACTCTGCTAAGCAATGGCAGATCCCCTGGGATCTTTAGGCTGCCACAGAAGGAGTGTAAGTTTTAATCAAATCTTTCTGTGCCAGTTTTCTCCCTTCTGAAGGATCCATTTGCCCTGATTAAGACATTACAAGAAGTCATTTAAAGGACAAATAAATGACAAAAGATTTTATAAGTGAAGGATAAACCACGTGCTGAGTGGGCTATAATTAGTTCCTTCTATTAATGCCTTACATGTTGTATTTCACAGTCCTAATAATTAAACACTTAGTAACAGAGGGTTGGATTAGTGTTTTAAAAAAACCCATAGGCCAAGCTGGGGACTTTTCTCAAGGTTTTTTGTGAGCAAGCAGGGAACGGATATTGTAGCACTTGTGGTAGCTGCAAAGTTTCTCAACTCAGTTCAAAAGCCACTATCACCTTCAAAGAAACTGAAAATGGGCTTTTTCTTTCTTAACACGTGCTGATGCTGAAGGCTGAGAATAATACGAGAATGATGCCATTCCAATGTGGTTTTCCATTTTAGCCAGTAATTGGATGGGAAAGCTGGTGACTGGGGGAAAGTGAGGGAAGGCACATGCAAAGCACAGGCAAGCAAATGCCGTACCATCACTTCCCTGTGCCATTTCTGCTCTTCACACTCCCATTATGTCACACTTCTCAAAAGTGCTAAGAAGTCTTCAAAATGGAAACCTCTACTCTCCTGTGCTAACCCTGTTAGTGAAACATGGCACATGGACCTGGATCTCACCAAGATACTTTCCTGATGTCTAGAACAACATAATTCATAATGTCTACTGAAATGACTTAATTCTACCCTGAATGCACATTTCTTAGGGACTGGTACATTTCTCAAGAAACAGAAGGCACTTGATAAACTTGAATATTTAATATTTCAGATACCCGCTTTGTTTCGCTTAACAGTAGGAGTCTATTATTTCCAGTTACCCTGTGAGGTGCAAACTGAAACTCAAACTCACAAAACATGTTTTATTCT